GCCCTAATTTCTGCCACTATATATTCCACAACACAACACTTCTCACACTTTTCACTCTCTCTCACGTATATGCATTTTTGCTTGCTTCATTGCTTCTTCCTCTCTCCCAAACCCAAATCTCAAAGAAGATCTCGTTATCTTACCTCATCAACAATGGCAACTTCATCTTCAACCTCTTAACAATTTGAATCTACAATGGCTGCGGTTTCATCTTCAACTATGGGTCCTACTCCATTCAAAGAACCTGTAAGAACTCTCCTCACACCTGTTGATCAACTGGAAGTTTTATGTGAGTTCTTGGTAGATTTTGAATGCATTGCTGTAAATGGTTATGATTTGCGTCCAACTGTGTCATCACAAGGATGGACAAAGTATTTTGATAGACTGATAGGTCCAGTTTATCCTTGCTTGGTTAAAGAGTTCTGGATCCATGCAACCGTTTTCCCCAAATTCATTGTTTCTTTAGTTCTGTGTAAAGAGATTATTATTACTGAAGATCTGATTCGTAAGTTGATAGGATATCAAGAAACATATGGTGTTACTCATCTTCCAGCAAGTCGTCTTGATATGAATGAGGTGTACAGTGAAGTTTTTACTTCTGGGGAAGCTTCAAGCAAGATAAAGGATTTAAAAGTTCATTACAAGATCTGGGCTAAGATCTTCTTAGGCTGCATACATCACAGGAAATCAACAAATTCTCCTGACTACATCAACACAGATCAAACGTATTTCATGTATTGTCTGGGTAAAGGCATCAAGGTGGATCTGCCTTACTTACTTTTTACTCATCTGTGGGGACATGTAAAAATGTCCAGAGAATCTGTCAAAACAAAGCATCAGAAGGTGAGAAACTGGATACCTATGGGAAGACTCATCTCAGATATTCTGACTGAAAATGGATTAGTAGGTCATCTGACAGAGGCTGGTATGAAATAAGAGTTAGCTTCAACTATTGGAAAGCCTCTAAATGGAAAGAGTCTACAAAGGATGAGGATAGTGGAAGAACTTACTTCTGCACCAGGTCAGATCAACACTGAAGAAGTAAGCAAGAGAAGAATTCCTTTAGATGATTTTCCTCTCTTCTATGCTGAAGAACCAAAGGAAATCATTCTGAATTACATTGCTGCTTGCTTAGCAGATGGAACCCTTTTGCCAGCAAATCTGATCCAAAGAGCGAATGAACCTGGACTAGATTTCTATGGGGAGAAACAGAGGAAGAAAATAAAGGTCTCAGAAGAAGGATCTTCGAAGCCCAAGAGGAAAGCTTCTGACGAAGCATCTTCTGCAAAGCCAAAACGCATCAAGAAGCAGAAAGGTAACCCTTCTGCCAGTTTATCTTCTATTTTAGAACAAGTAAGAGAAGTACTAACATCTGAACCTCCTCCTCCTTATGACCCAATTCCCACACCTTCTCCTCCTCACAACTCTGAACCCATTTCTTCTGAACCACAAAATTCTCAACCACCCCCTCTGAACCAAAACAACCACAACCATATGAACCATAATCATCTGTACCATCCACACCTTCCTTCAACATCCATCAGAAAACAACTTCTGATAAAACCCCATCTTCTGTTCCACAAACATCTGAACCAAACCCTTTTGTAAACCAACCTTCTGAACATCCCCCATCTGAAAATCAAACATCTGAACCACAACAACCATAAATCTTACCATCTGATCCTGAACCAGTCATTCTTGATCTCCAACCTCTCACGACTGTCTATCCAGTTTCATCTGGATCATCTGAATCTTCTGATTCATATGATTCCACTGATTCTGATAGATCAGATGTCATCTCATCTTTTCTCAAACCCTTTGTTTCCATACCATCTGACCCTGAGGATGATATTTTTTCATCTGAACTAACCCCATTTGAACCTTAGATTGCTAAGACTTCATCTGTCCATATTCCTTCTTCCTCATATCCACCTGTTATCATTATTCCTTCTTTTTCCATACCTTCAATTTCCACTACCACCAAAACACCATCATTAGAAGCCTATTTGAAACCCAAACCAAGGCTAGATGTTGGTACTCTGTTTGCTGATTTTGAAAAAGAAATAAATATGTGGTTATCTTCTGTCAAGAAGGAATGTCTTTCAAGTATGAATCCTGATGATTCTGAAGCTATCTGGATGAGATTCAAAAATAGATTCAACTCTGTGGCTTTAAATCTTCAAGAGATTTGTTCTGATGATGCAAAGGTCAGATTTGCTGAAGTTGTCAGACTTACTCTTCTGAGAGTTAGCAGAAATCCAACTTTGCTTCTGGAAAACACACCTACAAATGATGTGTGTCTTCCTTCTGAAGACTTTGCTACTTCTGAGACTGCTGAACTGTCTAGACCTGAAGAAGTCGTTCCAGAAGTTTCTGCTCCTGGTCCTGAAGAAACTCTTGACCCTGTTCAACCTTCTGACATGATTATAGAGAATGCATCTGCGTCTATGGTTGTTCACACTGCATCTGCTTCTGCATCTGCTCCTGAGTCATCTGAAGTGAAGAAAGAAGATGAAGATCTGCATGCTAAGTTTGCTGAGCTCAAGGCTAGCAACACTGAGATAAGATCTTGGATGGTAAAACAAGAAAAGACAAGTGAAGAAATCAAGACTTGGATGGCGAAACAAGACGAGTCAACATCTGAGATAACGAATCTTCTGAGGATTTTGGCTTCCCGTCCTTCTTAGTTTCTTTGTTGTTTGTGCACTTATGTGTTAACTGTTTGCCTGTTTCTGTTTTGGATTATGTTTATCAATGGATCTGAATGTTGTGTTTATATGACTGAATCTATCATATGATTTATTGTTTTCCTCTGTTATTTTTTTTTCTGTCTTAAAGTTTTTCTTAATCAGATTCTTTTTGATATGACAAAAAGGGGGAGAAAATGGTAATTTTGATAACTCATATAAACAGATACCAAAAGGCAACTCATACATGATATATCTTATCTAATCATATTTTTTGAGTGTTTCAGAGCTAATAATTCTCATCTGACAAAATTATAAGAATTAAATCTGAACTAAAGTCTGAGAATCTACAAGTTTCCTTTGACGTTGAAAAGAATACAAGAGCTGAAAGGAAAGTATCTAATATTTTCAGAAGTATTCATTTCAGGGGGAGATTAATATTCTCAGGGGGAGTAATATTTTTTTCTGTTTAAACAAAATTTCCCATAGTTTTTGTCATCATCAAAAAGGGGGGAGATTTTTAAAACACAGATTGGTGTTTAATATATCTCATTGTTTTGATGATAACATTAATGAAATTTTGTATAGAGAATTTATATACTCTAATTTTGTTCAAGTGTTTATTTGTTTCAGATATCAAAATTAATATTATTCTGGAAGCAAGAACGCCTCTGAACACTATAGAACGAAAAAGCTCTGAGCGTCAGAAGCAACACATCAGAAGACTCTGATCTGCTACAGTGACTCTGAGTGAAGCTGAGAAGAACTTGAGTAAAGAACATACAATATTGTTTCAGAAGACTCTGGAAGTACTTAACCCTGCAAGTACAGAGGCTCTGATAAGCAAGTCTGCTCTGATAAAGAATTTCACGCTTAAAGCACTTTGCTGCAAACTCTGATAGAGAAACTCTGATTGAGTTAACTCTGATCTGAAGAACTAGGAACATCATCAGAAGTTCTAATGCAAGACGTTCCAAAGTTGTTGAAGAAGATGATGTTCAAATAAAGATCCGTTGGCATATTCTTTGTTCTTATCTAAACGGCTCTTTCCTCATTCGTGCATGACACATGAATTCAAACAAAAAGGATTTGTCAGAACATTCCTCTTCTGAGAAAGGAAAATTCAATAGAAGACAAAAAGCAACAGAATGCACAGTCTTTGAGAAATGGACTTCAAAGTACTATAAAAGCAGTCTCAACATCACTTCAAAGGTTAACGAACTTCAAACAAATTATTGACAAATTATTCAACAAGAAACTCATACAAACTTTATTCAAAGTTGAATAGTTTTCTTTTCGTTCTTTAACTTGTGTAAAAATAACTGTTGTGATATAGATTTTTAGAAGCAAATCTTAAACACATTGTTAGTTTATCTTTTGTAAACGATTCCTTAAGAGACCAAGTGTGGTCATATTTCTTGAGAAGACTAAGACAGTTGTCTTAGTGGTTAACACTGTAATCAGTTTGATTTAGTGGATTAAGTCCTTGTTGAGAAAAGCAAATCACCTTGGTAGGGTGGAATGGATTAGTTTGAGTTCAAACGAACTAGGATAAAAATACCTTGTTATTTTTCTATCATCTTAATTGTGTTAAAACCCTTATTCAACCCCCCCCCCCCCCCCCCCCCCTTGTAAGTGTTTTTCCTACCTTCAATAATCACTAAATTCATTACAATCAATGCACGCCTGCTCAAGTTGGTTCAACTTTTGATCATACTCAATCTCATCACTAGCACATACAACTTCCGTCCATAAGTCTTCGATTGTCTTTTGCATGTCACTAACCACATGTTGCTTGTATTTTACACCAACCTTTTTGTTAATGTGAAATCGACATAGAAAATTGATCGACCTTAGAAATACAGTTTCAATGGCTTTCATCAAAGCAAGATCTATATCTGTCACAATCACTTGTGGACACAAATATTTCTTCATAAACAATTCTTTAAGCTTATGTAACACCCAACAAAAAGTCACAGTCTGCTCAGACTCAATATACGCAAATGCGATAGCAAAATTCAACTCGGTTGATGTCATGCCAACAACTTCAAACAGAGGTTGCCTATATTTGTTTGTCTTGTAAGTGTTGTCCATAACTAACACAATAAGAAAAATATTCAACAACTTAACTGAATCTGGATGAGCCCAAAATATATCTCTAATAACTTCAGAGTCACCTCTTTTTCTACTGCAATAAACATAACCTGCACCCTCAATAAGCTTAAACAAATATTGTATCTCACTTCTAGGGTCTCTTATCTCTTTTTCTATCATACTCTTCTGCTTGTATATTTGCGTGATCCGAGTGAGATTCTATAGATTTTGCTCTTGCAAGGAAAGCAATATATGTCTAGGTGAAACCTTTCTCTTTGTCAAATCAATAAAATGTTTCTTTTGATCCGCTCTCAACCTACCAACAAAGGAGAGGCCTTCTAATCTATCAGATAAACCATGGTTATGAACTTCACATTTTACATCAACTTTCCATCTAGATCCATCTTTCGCCGGAGTTGACCTGATTTTAAATGGACATCCACATTTTTTCGTTGCACTTTGGGTACCACCATAAGTATCCTTGTGTTTTTCACCTTTATCACAACCAAATATTAATTTGTTACTTCTTCCTCTCTTGCATGTTTCAACATCTGAACGAGTGATAATAGCTGTTATTTTATTTTGGATTTTGATCTCTTTAATCCATCTTATGACATCTTCTTGTGTACCAAATCTTTGAGTAGTTGAGAAAACATCAGACATATCTACAAATATCTGGTCTCTATCGCATATTTGTGGAGGAATTTCCGTACTTGCAGAATAAAAAACAATTAAAAAAATTACATTTACGAAAACAAACCGAAAGTCTCATGAAAAGAGTTCTGTTACACAAAAGTCAACAAACCGGAAATCTTAGGAAAAGTGATCCGGTACACATTACAACCAAACCGAAACTCTTAGGAAAAGTGTTCCGGTGAACATTATAACCAAACAGGAAGACATGACATAAAGTGTTCCAGAAGAGCCGTAAGTAGGTGTCAGAACCAGATGTCTTTTTCTAACACATCTGATACATATTTTATAATGAACCGAAACTCTTAACTAGAGTCTTCCGATGTGCAAAAATTCATACCGAAAGTCATTTCAAAAGTGTTCCGAAACAATGTTGATGGAGTGAATTTTTCGGAACTCTGACAGTCTGACAGGAACAGTAAAAAGTACAAAAATAAACTAATAAAAAATAAACAGGGATAAAATTGACATTTTTTTAAAAATGTAGGGGTATGGGATAAAATTTTCCAATTTTATTGTCAAAACCGACTTGAACCAGCCCATTAATTTATGAGTTGAGTTTGCGGGTTGTGTTTCAAATAAAAAATATTTTTTTATGATTCTTTTTGTCGGTTTAAAAAATGTAAAACAACTCAATACAATCATAATCATTTATAACACTCAAATTCGATGAAACACATCATATAATATTTAATAAAATTTATCAACATGACATATCACTTAATAATAGTATAAAATTCAACAAGATATTTTATTTTTATAAAATACATATGTTGGAAATGATACAAAATAAAATAAAAAATAATATTTAATTTTAAAATTACTTAAACTCATTGATTTAATAGTATTATTGGTGGAGAATAAAATTTTTTTTTGGAACAATTATGATTATTAGTGAGATATTAATTTTATAGTTTTATTTAAAATAATAATAAAAACAATAAGAAATTATTAAAGTCACATCAACAGGTTAGGTCAACGGGTATGCGGGTTGCAAAACTCAAACTCGATACTCGAACCAAAACTATACGAGTTGTTATGGTTTGGGTTGGGTATACTCGTAAATGAATGGGTTCGAGTAATTTATGGGTTGGTTCGGTTACGGTCAGCGGATTTGTGGATCGGCTCGCACCCATAAACACCCCTAGTCAAAACTAACATTCAAACCAAATTAATCGATCTAGTAGATCGGATACTGATGGTAGAAAAGAAAATTCACATATTAATATTTTTTATTATATTTTATCACAATTTATAGTATTAATTTAGATGAGAATTATGACATGATTATTTGTTCTTAAAACATCATTGTTTTTAAAGAAGGCTTAAGCCTAAAACTAAAAATAAACAGTCCTTCTAACAGAATTTTCTCTGAGATTGAGCTTTCTTCATGTCACCTCTTAATTTTGATCTGGCACCCTCCCATAAGAAGGTTGTGATTATATTTTTGTCCTTACAAAAAATTTGGATTTTTTTTTATGAATATCAGATTTTTTTACGCAAATATCAGATTGTTTGCATTTTTTACCATTTGGATGAAGATTTTTGAAAATTTTGCAAATGTCCCAGATATTTCACAAAAGTATGCAGAAATATCAGAGATTTTGCAAATTACCGATAAAAATTCAAGGAATTCAAAAAAAATGATAAATAAATATTGAATGCTTTAAAAAGCAGGATAAAATTATCGGATATTTGGAAAGAACCAGTAACATATAAAACCTACTGGGTTTTTCAAAAATTCGGTACACACCAAAATTTATGGAAATTTTGAAATTTTTGGTAGGCAGTAATGAAATTATGAAAAAAAAAACATATTTTTTTTGACATTTTAAACAAACTATAACAGATAAAACACACACACACACACACACACACACACACACACACACACACACACACACACACACACACACACACACATATATATATATATATATATATATATATATATATATATATATATATATATATATATATATATATATATATATATATATATATATATATATATATATATATATATATATATATATATATATATATATATATATATATATATATATATATATATATATATATATATATATATATATATATATATATATATATATATATATATATATATATATATATATATATAATGCAAAAATGTTATAACATCGTTACAAATTATGTTGACTTCCTAGATTCTTCTTCTCAATGCCTAATATGTCCCGCATATGCTGATTTTCATGCTCTTGCAACTTCACTACAGTTCTGTCTCCATCGGTCTATGACGGGAGGCAAAGGGCAACTAGGCTTCAACTTCACATAAACCTAATGACTGTTGTTAGCAAAACCAATTGCAATCATTTTGTGTCTACTTGAAGTTATGCATGGAGCTATCATTTATGGGAAGAATGTAATATTAGGGTTCCTAGACAACCTGACCAATATAACATTGTATTTATAAGTAATAGGGTAACCCATATTAGGAATCGTCATCCACTTATCACGACTCTGAAAACCCAAGCTAGCTACCCACAACGCACTCCTAACTTTCGGCAGCATCTCATATAACAAATTAGAATACATTTGATGGTGTTGTTAAACTTCAATATCTAACTACATATGAACCAAAGGCCAAGAATTTTCTCCCCATCCAAGTAAAATTGCAATAGCCCAAAAACCATAAATTTCATCGTTTTCCACATCAACAATGTCATCAATGTAATGATGCAAGAAAATAGAAAACTGAGACAAATATTTTAGTTTTAAAGACACATTACACAATTGAGTTTCAGTTGGTTTTATACATAATCTCTTCGTACTCTGACTTCCCTACGAGCCCTCAGCATACTCCCACAGTGAAGGATCACAATGCACATCACTCTATTCACTATGTTTACTCTTCTTATTTCCCCTTTTTGGCTTGCGTTTCACTGGTGGTGGGCACATGAAAGTTGTGGATGGATGTGTTAGTTACTAGACTTTTTCTTCATCGTCCTCTAGCCTACAATATTCAGTGTACCAAAATGCTTCTTCAGATCTTCACACTCTTCTTCTAAATCCAACTCTGTCCCATTTTATTTTTCAATGACCACATGCTCTTCAATGAATAATTTCCTCCAAAACACATGTATCGATTCTAACGAAATATGTTCTCCTTGTATTTGATAGCCTGCAAGTTCACACACACAAGATAACCTGTGTGTTGTTTTAATGAAGCAGCCACATGTTACTTTGTCACAACCAATGAATTCAAACCTCTACAGCTCCTTTTTCCAATATGTTGTGTACATTCTCTTGAAGTGAAATCGTTCAATCTGGAGTAAAATGGAGTGTTATACCGATGATCAATGTTTGAAACACTTTTTTAAAATGATACTCTAATTGAACATAATTACAGCTTCAACATGGTGTTAACAACATCCCCACTTCTACATAAATCTCTCATGCTGCCTGTCTTTTTTGGTCTCCAGTTAGCAGACTCAACCCTAAAAAATATAAACATAACATGATGTCATTATTTGATAATTAGTAGTGTAACTATTTTCAGAAATAAGTGCTTTTTTCAAAAGCACTTTTTCCAAAATCACTTTTAAAATCATTTTTTTTCCTCTCCTAGTTGGAATTAGAACAGATTCTGTCGGTCTTGTGCCGAGGTCGGAAAAATAAGTCATTCCGTCGCCCTCCCGACGTACCCGATGATGAAATCAAACTGAGGGTATCGGGACCGAAAAAAACCAATTTAATTAATTGAATAATTTTCATCTGTTGAGTTGTTTTGCAGGTTCGAAGAAAAAGTTGGAAGTCGAGAATTGAAGATCGGACTCGAAGACACTTTTAGGACAAATTAGGAATTTTAGATTTTAAGGATTTATTTTGTACTTGAGATTAATCTTGTAATATTGTAATAAAAATATAGAATAAATAAAATTCTATTTTCTTATTAACTTGAATTTCTCGCAACAATTCATCTGAATAATTCTTCCGATTAAACTCAAACGAACAAATCTACTTAGTTAAATTTATTCGACTAAATTTAATTCACCAAATAATTCATCCGACTAAAATCACCCAATTAATTCGTCTGCTTCAACTATCCAACTAAATCCACCTGATCAAGATCATCTGACTAAAATCACTCAGTTAAACTCAACCAACTAAATCCGATTAACTAAATTTATTTGATTAAGCTCCTTCAAACAAATTCGTCTGAATAAGTTTTGTCAGATAAAATTTGTCTGATTAAATTCAAATGACTAACTTCTTCCAATTTAAACTCATCCAAATAAAATTTCTTCCGATTTAAACTCATCCAAATAAATCAAATTGATTAAATTCCTCCAATGGGATTTATCCGATTAAGTTATGACGCTTCAACTCCAAACTCATCAATTGATTCAAATCTGATGTAACTGAGTTCAAACAAATCATCTTGCAAATTAATTCGGACCCGATATTAACGGTGAATATGGCCTTGAACGGATAAGCAGAGAAATTCAGTTAAACGGCAAAACGAACTGTCTTCCGTATTGAAAGTTCAAAATGCATCTCGACTACTTTAACTCGGTAACCTGAATCAGCCCAACTAACAGTCATGATCAAAACAACAGATATTCATTATAAATTCAATACGCACCGAAATTTCATTGTTCCTTTAAAATCGACCGTTGACCAGTAGAAAGCAGGAAAATGTGCGTCTGTTAAAATAAATTCCTCAAAACACATTCTTGCACCCGATTTAACCTGAATCCAATTCTATCGACACACTCAGCTCCATATGGTTTAGGAATCAAACAACATTTCTGAAATCCAACCGACGACTGAATCTCGGCTCTTGAATAAACGGTGCTGTGTCACGAGAAATCTGACGTAAAAATTCAGCTCATCATCAAATAAGTCACATGACTCGGAGACGGAAACCCTAATCCCTTGAAGAACTCCTGATGACAACTCCGCTTCATCAATTGTCACCAAACTGC